TACAGTGGTGATATTCAGCGGGTTCGCACAGGTTCGGCCGAACCCGTTGTTAACATTTTCAAAGTTTTTCGAACCTTGTTAAACACATGTAACATTTCTCAATGGTTTGATTCTTTTAAAAATATTGAAATATACGTATTATACTCTGTAACACTACTAAACTAGAGCCTTCCGATGCACCATTTGAGCGAAAAAAAAATTGTTAAGGAAAAATTTTCTGTTAGCGAACCCTTTGTTAAATATTTCGAATGTCATCACTGTATATATATATATAAAACATTGTGAATGTTAATAACGAGTAAAGTCTCATTAAGTATGACTCTACTCGAGATATGACACATAATCCTCTTTAATCTCCCAACCCCCTCGACCATTAATCAGCAAAATTTAATATTACCAATCCCCCTAATACACAAACCTCTCTGCAAAATGTCAGAAATTTTCGATAAAAGACACAGGAGTTATAAGCTTCAAATAGAGTGAACAAAATTGTGACACACACACACACACTTCCATACTTACAGAAAAAAAAACATCTTTGAATTGTGCAATTATTATAGACCATGAGCGATATAACGTCAGCAATCTCCTCTGACAATCTCTGCTCAAGATTTCTTCATTTGGTAAAATTAATTTAATGAAGAACATCATCCAAAAACAAGATTTTCAGTTTTCTTGGATATCAGCTTCAAGTATATGCACTTGCATTATCATAAAGAGTTGTAGGGCAGTAAAGCAGTCAGTTTATCGTTTTTGGGATCCAAATTCGAGCCCAATTCATATTTTATAATTTATCTGTAGTAGTATGGGTCGATGCACAGTCCCACTTTCGCAGACTGATTCCATTTCAGATTGGACTATACTAAAAATGGATCTAATTGTGGCAAGTTACATAACCCGGTGCGTCACGATAATTAATCGTTTGTTTTATCAATCTCAATTCATATTACAGTTTTGAAGGATTTTCTTTTGAGATCTGAACTCAGGTATATAAAATATAATCTTTTAGTATAAATCACGCTGGAAAAATATTTTTATTTTTCTGCATTTTAGAATTCTTTGGATACTTTTTAAAGATTATGTAATAATATTTTCCATGTCTTAAATACCGTTTCTAGTTCGAGTGACATTTTACAATGATTTAAAAAGTGATCAAATAGGATTTATCAAATATATTTATAAATATTTTACACTTTAAACTCAAAAACGAAATTGAGGAAACTTCATGTAAATAGAAAATGTTTACATATCGTTAAGAAACCTCCCATTATATTTATTCTATCAATAGATAAAGTAAAATTTAACCTTCAAAGTTAATTTCCTCGTATTTAAATTGGAGTGAAGAAGCTGTGCTGATATTCTCTTAAAATGCTTTGGTTTATATTTATTACTATTCGAAATGTTTTATTGTTATTGACAACGATTTTCGTATTATTTCTAATTATTTTGAAGACATCTAAAAGAGTCCAAGACAGATGGTTCGCTTTCCTTTTAGAGAAAATACTTAAAATAAATATCGAGAAAAACATTGCTGCGGAAAAACAAAAACTATTTACAGAATTGAAACTGGTTAAATCAAAAGATCCTCAGAGATTAAACGAGGGAAAAGTTAAAATTTTGGAAATTGGAGCCGGAAGTGGCTCAAATTTTAAGTATTATCCAGAGAATACCTCCTTAATTTGTGTAGAACCTAATAATAATTTTCAGAAATATTTTCAAGAGAATCAAAGCAAATTTCCAAATGTAAAATTGGATTTGTTTATTTGTTCCGGAGCAGAAGACATGAAGGAAATAGAAGACGATAGTGTGGATGTAGTCGTATCCACTCATGTACTTTGTAGTGTTAACGATGTGCAGAAAGTCTTACAAGAAGTGAAGCGAGTTTTAATGAAGGTAAGTGATGTTTATTTATCCTGCGAATACTTTTGCGAAAAGTGTATAAAATGGAAAAAATATTTTCCATTTAGGGAAGCCGATTCTATTATTATGACCATCAAATTTCTCCAGAGATGAATTTTACCGTAATCTTTTCTAAAATAATCGAGCCAGTTTGGAAGATACTTGGAGGAAATTGTCATCTGACTAGAGACATTGGAAAAGAAGTGGAACGAGCAGGATTCGAAGAAGTATCACAATATTATAAATATATTGATAAATTTCCATTTATTGTAAGATATCACGTTTTAGGATATGCAACAAAATAAAGGATGAAATCCATTTTCTTGAATTTAAAATAGATAATATTTAAGATAATAATTATCAATTGTTAACAGTAGAAAAATAGTTATATTAATTCTTAAAAATTAAAAAGTGTATTTGAAATTATAAAATTAAATAATTTACGTAAAATGTCAAATATTTTTGAATTAATTAATACGGATTTGGATTTAAGGGTTACGATACAAGGGTTAAAAGCTACAATAGGAGGCTGGGAAGTAAGGGACAGAATCCGACATATCCGGAACAGACTACTACTGAAAAATTCCTAAAGTGGCTCATCCGAACTCGATTTCAGATCCACTACAGTTGGAAGCTGACTCTTTAATTAACCGTTTCGATCATCCGACCATTACCAGGAAACATTTAGAAAGATCAGTTTATTTTAGACACCGCAAAATTTTTTAACTTTTTTTTTCTTTTCAGTTTTGGGCAAATAAAAAGTCGTTAAGAGCTAGATCAAGAGTTTGGTTTGACTTATTTGGTTACTGCAACGCGACACGTGGTTGATTCACCCAGGTTAAATGCCTCCCGGAAAGACTTTTATCGGAATTTGGTCTTATTTAGGTATTACAAACGTGAAGAAAACACGGAAGACTCTACGTTGCCAGTTAGTTGACGAGGCGCGAACTCACGACCAACTACCAGTGTTCAGTGGTTTGCTAAATTGGGAGAATAGTTATATTGTGAGAGTAGCAGTTCCAAGGTTTTTCAGAGAAGTAATGATTGTAATGGCTGTGTGTGGCATAAAAAATTGAGATTGTCCACAAGTTGATTATTAGTTATAGCAATTTTCCAGTTTCAAATCGTTTATGTCACTTTTCTCATTTTTGTCTCTTCCTGCCATGTGAGCACTAGGAGTNAAATGTTATTAAACACTATCTTAAATATAAACAGTATCTTTCACCAATATAAAATATTTCTTTCATTAGTTAAAATATATCATCATCAACATTAAGCAAATAACAGTTTTAATATTAATCCAGAAATAAATAGAAATGAATCAAATTTATAAAGAAAGATTAGATTTACATACAAGCAAAATAAGCTTCTGTTTAAGGACTACACAAAGCTATTATAATGCCTCATAATTTTATTATGTGGTAAAACAAGAAAGGTTTCTTGCATATTGCATCTTACGGTCACAAGTTCAAATCTAGTTCTGTATCTAGATGACTTCAGCGATTCAGAAAATAGTACCAACACCAACATTTTGAATGTAATTGTGCCAATTATACACGTATACATAAAAATTCATTTTTACATAATATATTGAAAAATTTTTTATGCAAAACATATATAATATCTGTTTTGGATCCGGTGGCATGGCCATGGCGGCTCCGGACATCTGATCCTGCATGGCACGGGTCTGATCGGCGGCTAGTATAAAAGCGTAATGACGACATTATTATGGTGATTAAAACATTTTAAAAGTTTTCATTGATTTAATTCTTAAATACTTTCGAANAGTACCAACACCAACATTTTGAATGTAATTGTGCCAATTATACACGTATACATAAAAATTCATTTTTACATAATATATTGAAAAATTTTTTATGCAAAACATATATAATATATAAATTTAAGAGATTTTTCTGAAAGGAAATGGCCAAGGAAATATTTTCGATATATCTGACCTAATTGAAATCAAAAAACAGAAAATATAACAGTAGAATATTTTTTAAAGAATTGCTTCTAGACCTACAATTCCTTTCAATTTATTACTTGTAGAGGGACAACCTGCAATCTTTGCCTGATGATAATGGCTGCGTTCAGCAGACTCAACAGTTCCAGAGCCATTGAGTATTTTTCTGCCAATCACCCTCTATAGTAGTGCTGTTTTGGAACGTGTTTGATATTTTGAAGTCACATTTAGTAGCATTTTTCATTTATGATACTTGAAACTGACCAATGATGGCTGCTTTTTGTTCCAATGCCTACATCACTCATCGCTTAGCAGATGTAACTACATAAGAGCTACCGATTGAAAAACCTTTGCACAGATTACAACTGTTGACTCTGCTGAATGCAGCTATTAACTTTTGGCATAGATTAAACCTTTCATATCATCTAATATTGAATTATTTTACATATATATGTTTTAAAACCAAAATATTGTTGAAAATGTGATAACTGTTTCCAAATCAAAGATAATGATTGATATTTAACATTATTTCTCTGAAAACAATGTGAATTAAATATCTCTACTTTTAACAAAGAATAAAGTAAAAAAATCAATTGACAGGCATTTTTATTTTCTCGGCAGATTCTTTAAATCATATCTTATCAAATTTATTTACTTTTTATATTTATTTTCAATGTTAAAACTCACATTCACTTACAATTCAATACAAAAAAAAAACTCATATTATTCAAATATTTACATTTATTTTACAAAGTTATTGTGTCATTCAAACTTGAATTAACAAACCCTTAAAGTATTTGATGAAATTTTAAATATATAAATAATTTTCTTTGAAAACTCACCATATTAACCAAATTATTAACAACGTGCCGGCAACTCAAGACAAATGAAACTTTACAGATGTGTTGCCAGATCACATTAACATTTATTTATTTTCAATGTTGCCAGATCAGAACAGTAATAATATTTAACTGTAAAATGTGACGTTCGTGTTCGTTTTAAATGTCTAAATTACTGCAAAATAGTATATACATAGAGAGAGAGAGAGATAAAAATTATTTACTTTAAATAAAAATAATGACGCCCGGATGGCCCAGCGGTTAAAGTCTGGGGACCCGGGATCCTATCCGACGCACAGTGGGACCGAATCCCAAAAAGCTGGCCAAAGTCGAAAAATACAGTTTAAGTTCCGGTAATTTCTAGTCGTGGGTTCGGTTGGATAAGAGTCCGAAGGTCGAATTCTAGACTTTAGCGCCCCCTATCCCTTATACCTGCTATTGTAGTTTAGTTGAAAGGGGACCCTCAATCGAGATAGACGCGTCATGCAGTAAGCAAAGATTTCTACGCTATATTCAAGAGAGTGCCAAATCTCTAAAAATCAATCGAATTTAAATTTAAAAAATGGAATTTGCAGCTGCAAGTGAGTAGAATATCATTATGTAACTCAAAGTTGATAATAATACTTTATGTGATAACAGTAAACGAATGATTTGTACGAAAATGAACGGAAGATTACAACAGAAAATTTTAAACATGTAGAGAAAAGTTCATAAATTCTGTAGAGTTCTGCGACTGGACCGATCGCATGTTGTAGATGGAAGTATTATTAAATAAAAAAAGTTAAAACTAGCTGCAACTAGCTGCAATTGTGTCATTGGNTAATTTAAAAATTTAAACATGATTATAAATTATGAAACTTAAAATTTTAATAATGAACACTTTTATGATTTTTGTTTTATATTTTCGAAAATAATAAATATTATAATTATTTATAAATGTATAAATAAACCTCCCATTATATTTATTCTATCAATAGATAAAGTAAAATTTAACCTTCAAAGTTAATTTCCTCGTATTTAAATTGGAGTGAAGAAGCTGTGCTGATATTCTCTTAAAATGCTTTGGTTTATATTTATTACTATTCGAAATGTTTTATTGTTATTGACAACGATTTTCGTATTATTTCTAATTATTTTGAAGACATCTAAAAGAGTCCAAGACAGATGGTTCGCTTTCCTTTTAGAGAAAATACTTAAAATAAATATCGAGAAAAACATTGCTGCGGAAAAACAAAAACTATTTACAGAATTGAAACTGGTTAAATCAAAAGATCCTCAGAGATTAAACGAGGGAAAAGTTAAAATTTTGGAAATTGGAGCCGGAAGTGGCTCAAATTTTAAGTATTATCCAGAGAATACCTCCTTAATTTGTGTAGAACCTAATAATAATTTTCAGAAATATTTTCAAGAGAATCAAAGCAAATTTCCAAATGTAAAATTGGATCTGTTTATTTGTTCCGGAGCAGAAGACATGAAGGAAATAGAAGACGATAGTGTGGATGTAGTCGTATCCACTCATGTACTTTGTAGTGTTAACGATGTGCAGAAAGTCTTACAAGAAGTGAAGCGAGTTTTAATGAAGGTAAGTGATGTTTATTTATCCTGCGAATACTTTTGCGAAAAGTGTATAAAATGGAAAAAATATTTTCCATTTAGGGAAGCCGATTCTATTATTATGACCATCAAATTTCTCCAGAGATGAATTTTACCGTAATCTTTTCTAAAATAATCGAGCCAGTTTGGAAGATACTTGGAGGAAATTGTCATCTGACTAGAGACATTGGAAAAGAAGTGGAACGAGCAGGATTCGAAGAAGTATCACAATATTATAAATATATTGATAAATTTCCATTTATTGTAAGATATCACGTTTTAGGATATGCAACAAAATAAAGGATGAAATCCATTTTCTTGAATTTAAAATAGATAATATTTAAGATAATAATTATCAATTGTTAACAGTAGAAAAATAGTTATATTAATTCTTAAAAATTAAAAAGTGTATTTGAAATTATAAAATTAAATAATTTACGTAAAATGTCAAATATTTTTGAATTAATTAATACGGATTTGGATTTAAGGGTTACGATACAAGGGTTAAAAGCTACAATAGGAGGCTTGGAAGTAAGGGACAGAATCCGACATATCCGGAACAGACTACTCCTGAAAAATTCCTAAAGTGGCTCACCCGAACTCGATTTCAGATCCACTAGAGTGGGAAGCTGACTCTTTAATTAACCGCCTCGATCATCCGACCATTACCAGGAAACATTTAGAAAGATCAGTTTATTTTAGACACCGCAAAATTTTTTAACTTTTTTTTTTCTTTTCAGTTTTGGGCAAATAAAAAGTCGTTAAGAGCTAGATCAAGAGTTTGGTTTGACTTATTTGGTTACTGCAACGCGACACGTGGTTGATTCACCCAGGTTAAATGCCTCCCGGAAAGACTTTTATCGGAATTTGGTCTTATTTAGGTATTACAAACGTGAAGAAAACACGGAAGACTCTACGTTGCCAGTTAGTTGACGAGGCGCGAACTCACGACCAACTACCAGTGTTCAGTGGTTTGCTAAATTGGGAGAATAGTTATATTGTGAGAGTAGCAGTTCCAAGGTTTTTCAGAGAAGTAATGATTGTAATGGCTGTGTGTGGCATAAAAAATTGAGATTGTCCACAAGTTGATTATTAGTTATAGCAATTTTCCAGTTTCAAATCGTTTATGTCACTTTTCTCATTTTTGTCTCTTCCTGCCATGTGAGCACTAGGAGTCATTTTTCTATACTCATCATGGCTCGGCCAGGCTAACAATAGAGATAGCCGAGCAATGAGAGAAGGGCCTAATATATTCGGGACAAATCACCCATGGAAAATGCTCGGATGGTTACTGCCCAAATTTGATCTCGAGTTCTTCAGAGTGATAGGCTGATGCCATAACACTTACAGTAAATAGGAGCCAGTTTTCCGTAAAAAGTCGTTTTGCAAGGCTCCTGGCAGGTCACCGTCGTGTTGTGTTTCTTTATCCCAACAATACAAACTTTTCCTGAGCTTTTTCAACACATCTTGAACTTTTATTTTATTGATCAGCTGAGCGGCAGCAAGTAAAAATCACTTTATATTTTCATTTTGTTTGGTCATCTACACTGCCCGTTATAAATGACAGTTAAGTTATGTATTAAGTTCTATAATATTGATAAAATAATCAACAACTTATTATTAAAATTATTCTTGAAATCATCAGAAATTATTTGAAAATTTCGTTGTTCATATGAAATTAGTATGCTTAAATTATGAAAAATGATACAGCCAAACCCATTTATCATGATCAAATGAGACCCGATTAACGAAAATTTAGATAAACCGAAATTTGTGAGGTATTGAAATAAAATTCGAAAATTCCATACTAAAAAATTAATAATTTTTAATGACCGAAAATAAAATTACGTGCTTTACTGACTCGAAAACAATAACAAATTAAATAGGGACATAAAAATTACTCCGTACATAAAAACAGTATGATTTTTAGCCTTGCAGACGTGAGATTGCTACATCATCTCACATACATCGCAGAGTATAACAATTTAAAAAAAATAAAAATGTGACTATTCAAATCAATCCGGATATTCTGGAAATCCAGATGATCCGGATGAACGGGTTTTGTCTGTATCTATAAATATTAATTTGATTCAGTTTATTCATTTTTTTTTAATTTGATGTACAAAACTTGTGGTTAGATAAAGAACTATCAGCTTTATTCTGTATAGGAATAAACGAAAAATTTAATTTTATTTATATATATTTTAAATGATAAAGCAGAGAAATTTGGAATATTATTACATAAAATCGTTGGAAATGACGTATAATTTCAATTGATAACGCTAGTCATACTATTATAAGTAGAGAATTTTTTTGTGTTTATAATCATAACTATTGTTATTGAAAATATTTTCAAAAGGAATTTCCTGTTGTGGAAAATTTATATTGGCAGAAATACATTGGAGTACAAGGAAGATATGAATGTCATCCTTGTCTCTTGGTTATTAAATCATATAGTCGATTAAAATAGTGCCGTCTGGTAGCAGTAATTAAAATTAAATTATTTAGAAGTAATTAATTAGGATTAAGCTTATGATGATTAATTAAAATTAATTAAATTTACTAATCAGTAACTTCTTTCTATATTTATAACAGTAAATAAAAATATTTATTGTTATGTAATAAAACTTTAGGAAATGAAAGTACAGTAGCTACACTTTTAAGTGTAAATGATAATGATTTTAATTATAATTGGTAAAATGTCATTGACATCCTTATTAAGATTATACAATCTAATAAGTTTTGCATGCTATATAATTTAGTTATTTTTATAGCTACGAGGTGGCGCCACGTTTACGTTAATTTCGGATCGGCAAGTGCCATGTGGAAAGACTACATATAATCAGCCGTTAGCGTCAATATTGATGTGATTTCTAAAATGATGTATTAACTGCAGTTATGGTTTACTTGCCAAATTTATTTCCCTTGTAGTTCCCTTCATATAACAGTTACACAACACTTGTTTACATAAATTAGACTGCTCCATATACTCTTGCTGATATATAATCGAGAGATTATATTCCTACGGTGACATGGTTCAGAATCTGTTTCTTGAGGAGGAAAAAGGGAGAAAGGATAAGGATGCCTTTTTGTTAAAAAAATTTTATCTACTTTTATATTTAGGATCTTCGAATAGCCTTTAATAACTTATTGCCATGTTTTTAAAGGTGAGATTATTATGCTTATGTTGATAACTTGAGATATTCTCTTGCATAAGCATGCTAACATGTACAGTGTATTTTTCAGTGGAAATGACATATATAGTGACGTATAAGACGATCTCCTGACTTACAATTCAAAAACGAAATTGAGGAAACTTCATGTAAATAGAAAATGTTTACATATCGTTAAGAACTACTGTATTTAGAAGAAAGTAATAAATTTATTCTCTTCGAAAAAATTATAGATGTGAACAAAAATAAAAAATAAAAAATGCATAGTATAATGCGCATATTTTAAAAAAAATTATTAGCGGTTCGATCAATGAACAAGGCGTAACATTAAAAACTCAGCAGGTGCACAGCGCAATCACGCCATATAGATGATGCAGTCTTTAAATTTATTTATGTTTCAATGGCGTTTGTATTTGTTTTCGTTACTTTAATAAGGAAATAGGTTCTGTAAGAATCACTTCTAAGGATCTTCCATAAATTATGTAATGTTATTTTTATACTTTCCAACTACCATCTCACTCTCTTAACGGTTGTATGCCCCATCCCCAGAATTACATAAGACACATTCTAGATCGACCTTAGTACAATTAATTGTACTAAGAAATAATACAAAGTCTGAGATAACATTAACATTAGTAAACATTACGCTATTTTATATTAAGTACAAAAGTAATGACATATACCTTCCGGAAACAAAAATGTATCATTATGTTATCCAAGGATCTTAGCATTATCTAACGTTTTTGTAAACACCTCACTCCCTCGTAATGCATTGTAACAATTATTTGCACGCTTACTCACCCATGGTTTGCTTTACGTAATTTATGGACAGCCACTATATTCATAAAACAAATAATAATGTAAAATTGAGTTGATTAGCTATGTTGAGACATATAGGAATAAAAATTATGGAATGTAAGTTTTAATTAAAAATCATTATAAAAATTAAGAAAGTAAATTTTAAAATACAGAAAGAATCACCGGAATTGGATATGCTGTCTTCCGAACTAGAAATTATTTTCATGTCAAACACTAAACACGAAAGTAATTAAGAAAATATTTAATAAATATATAACTACTCTCAAAATATATGCAGATTACGACGAACTTTAACTAAAAATGTAATGTGAGTACTTTATATATTCGATAAATTCTTGAAAGCACGAGAGAAATAATAGTGATGCTTCCGGTTTGCTGGAGTGCGATATTAGATTTGTATGATTGGCAGACTATAGATCACGTGTCTTAGTTGAAATTCTGATTCTGATTGGCTGTATGATATTTTTCGATGCTTGTTTCTTTTTATATATATATTGTTCATGGGCTGGCATAAATGAAAAAAACACCAAATTCATAAAAAAAGAGGTTTAAAGGTTTTTTTTAAAAAAATTGGAAATAAATTGCAAATAAAATAGAAAAAAATGAATACCAACTGTCCATTATTGTCTTCAATAAAAGAAACTTTAAAATTAATTACAGAAAAGTTGTTTTAAATGTTTTTAGTACCCCTAATTACTCCAGTTTGAAATGTGCCACTAATCCACTAATATTGGTTTTTTTTTATTGTAGAGATCNGAGTTTGTGCGAATTACCTCGAAAAAACTCAAAGTCATTGCTTCCAGAAGCAGTTTTATTGTTAGTTGCGCCACGTATACCAGCAAGTACAGGAAGCTCCAGCGACTTCAAAGTTGAATCATCTGATTGTGAATCAAATTATTCTTTGGATGACGATGCATGAACTTTTAATCAACTGATTGTATGTTTTATCATATTAAACAATATATGGATTTATTTTGTACTTTTTCTATAAAAGTGGTTCGTGTTAAATCCGTCATTTTGTTTCTATTTCAAATTTTGACTTCGGATTCGTAATCAGCGATCTCGAAAACCTTCGAATACTGACTTTCAGCCAAATTGATAACGCTTTTGACTTTTGGCCAGCTTTTTGGGATTCGGCCCCACTGTGCGACGGACAAAAAACCCCAGGAAATGTTCAATGGTGGTCCATCCGGATATGTCGAATCTCATCGCTGAAAACCTGACCGCTTCATCGTGGTCCCCTGCTAAGAAAAAGACCCTCTCAGTGTCCACAGGGTCATAAGAGCAAACACAAAAAAAAAAAAAAAAAAAAAAGCTAATGTTAGACACTTAAACCTATTAGATAAGTGACGTCGCGAAAATCTCGTGAAAATCAAATAAGGATGCCTATGGAGAAAATTAAGTTTGGTTTTGTGGAACATTCCAAAGACAAACGTTAAATGTAAAATAAAATATTGCAAACAATGTTCTAATATAAAACGTTTAAACTATTTCTAAAAAAGCAATAATTTTATTAAATAATACAAAAAAAAAAACAAAAAATCGNCCCTGGTCAGTACACACACTCTCTCTGACTCTCTACACACCCTCACTAGGCGGGACAATCTCCCCCACACTCCCGGGGACACCGTCACCTCACCCAACCGACATGTGTGACCAAGCTGTGGACTGTCCATCACCACCTGCCGACATCCACACACCTGACACATGTCTCACATATGTTACACTGAACTTAACACAAGGAATTAAAAAAGAAGAAAAACCCAACAAATTTTCTCATTCAAGTAAAAAAAGGCAAATACCATCTTTGTTTATATTAATTAAATAAATACCATACCTTCTCGACCTCCTTGAAATTTAACTCTAATGGCTTTATCTAAATATTTGGTTAAATCGACAATACTTTCTTTCTTCTTCTTCTCTTTATCGTGACTTCCAATTGATGCATTCTATAAGAAAATCAAAATAATTTAAAACACAAACTCAATACATACTGTATTTACTTACATATAGAATGAGGTGTGACTTTAAAGATCAAAATAAAGAAAATTAGATTTATTAATACAATTCTAGTTTTATTTCGTTTAATCACAAGTAAAATATCAAATGAACATAAATGCACACATTGTCCTGTAAAAATTACTGGCATTTTAAACTTTAAGATAAAATCTTATGAAATTGACAACATAATTTGTTAATGTAAAGCTGGACAATCAGAAACCTTTTTATTGCCAATTCTTAACAGTTGAATACACTCTCTGTCGATTACACTTATGAGTTTCTCTGAATTCTGATTTTCGAATAATCATCTGTTTTCACGTGGGAATGGATTAAAACTTACATCATGCGCCAGTGTAATTTTGAAATTTCAATCTGGAATTCAATTCAAAAGCTTTGCTTTTCCTATTGCTATTCATCTTTACTTCTGACAATATACAAGAACGATTCAACGACCTAGATAAAATAATTGTTTTAAAATACAAGAGGGTAAGCATCCAGTAAAAAGTACGAATAAACGGTTCACNATAATCCTCTTTAATCTCCCAACCCCCTCGACCATTAATCAGCAAAATTTAATATTACCAATCCCCCTAATACACAAACCTCTCTGCAAAATGTCAGAAATTTTCGATAAAAGACACAGGAGTTATAAGCTTCAAATAGAGTGAACAAAATTGTGACACACACACACACACTTCCATACTTACAGAAAAAAAAACATCTTTGAATTGTGCAATTATTATAGACCATGAGCGATATAACGTCAGCAATCTCCTCTGACAATCTCTGCTCAAGATTTCTTCATTTGGTAAAATTAATTTAATGAAGAACATCATCCAAAAACAAGATTTTCAGTTTTCTTGGATATCAGCTTCAAGTATATGCACTTGCATTATCATAAAGAGTTGTAGGGCAGTAAAGCAGTCAGTTTATCGTTTTTGGGATCCAAATTCGAGCCCAATTCATATTTTATAATTTATCTGTAGTAGTATGGGTCGATGCACAGTCCCACTTTCGCAGACTGATTCCATTTCAGATTGGACTATACTAAAAATGGATCTAATTGTGGCAAGTTACATAACCCGGTGCGTCACGATAATTAATCGTTTGTTTTATCAATCTCAATTCATATTACAGTTTTGAAGGATTTTCTTTTGAGATCTGAACTCAGGTATATAAAATATAATCTTTTAGTATAAATCACGCTGGAAAAATATTTTTATTTTTCTGCATTTTAGAATTCTTTGGATACTTTTTAAAGATTATGTAATAATATTTTCCATGTCTTAAATACCGTTTCTAGTTCGAGTGACATTTTACAATGATTTAAAAAGTGATCAAATAGGATTTATCAAATATATTTATAAATATTTTACACTTTAAACTAATCCTAAAGCACACCTTTAATTTTCTTCTCCCCATTGAAAGTTCTAAAAAGTTTACATTCTTTCTTTTAGCTTCATTGCTTCACTAATTAAAGGAAATGTTTAACTTAAATCGTAAAGAAGAAGAAGAAAAAAAATCCTCATTTACTTTCCTATGAAGTTGTGATTCTTCAGCAATTCGAAGTTAGACGAGTGTTTTTGACACTTCATGCAATTTACTAAAAAGTGACGTAGTCAAAAATTATACGATGAAATATTTTTAAAACGTATTTAAAATTTTAAGAATTTTGAAAGTTTATATGAAGTATATTAAGTTAAAATGTTACAATAGTAAAAATACTTATGCTATATAAGTTTTTAACATATACTGTCTATATAGGCTAATAGATATAGCCTATATAGAACGTTAACATATAATTACTACGAATCGATATTATATTTTAAGAAAAAATTGCTTTCGGTGTCGTGATTGAAATTTAAATTGTTTTACATTTTATTATTAAAAAAAAATATAAATTGATAAATTCATATATATATATATATATATGATCTGATTAAAATGTGTTATGGCACTAAGCTACAGCATACAAGAGCCTTTTTCTTCAACTAAATAATAGACAATACAATATATGGACAGTATAAGCCAATATTGTTTTTGAAAATGAATCAATGTCCTTCATAGCGTNGCTATAATATAAACATTAAACATTAGACAAAAGACAAATTTGACGTTCAACAAAGAAACAGTAGCAAATTTTATTCGTAATAAATTAATTCTGACCGTGGTGTATTTACACCAGTCAGAGTTATGCTTGCCCAGCTTCTTGACGTCACGAAGTAGCGACATCTCGTGGTAAAATACAGAACTACGGCTACGGAATCGTTCTGTAATTAGACACCAGTGATATCCAAGCCTTATTAATCCATCTCATACAAAACTACGATCAACAGGCTAGTAAACTATAAATTTAATAAACTATAAATCGTTGATTACATTTTATAATTTTTTTTTGTTTTAATTTTTAATCAGTAACAGCACACACATTTTCACCTTACATATATTTTGGTGAGAACTGCATGCATTCATTTTCATTGATAACTCCCCTGAATGCTCCTAGATAACAGTCAAAGATTGTAATCGTCAACGTCAGCTAATATTCTTCTGCCATCTCGAAATGGTGAATAGTGATACTTTTGTGATACTTATAAAATAAAGATTACAATTTAAGTTTAGAAATTGCAATGAAAAATTCACACAAAACTTGAATTGTATTAAGTAACAAATAGATAAATACATCTACTCGTTAAATATATCAGCAGATAAATACATCCTTATCTGCTGATATAACTTACGTAAGCAAGAGACATATTAAATTTCATTAACTTTAATTGAAATTATTTAGAAATTTTAATTTCAATTTTTAAAAATAACTTTTACTTAATAATTTTATTTAAATTAAATACATAAATATATATATTTAAAATTCGAAAAATCAATTTATTTAAAAACTTAATTTTATTTAATTTAAAAATTTAAACATGATTATAAATTATGAAACTTAAAATTTTAATAATGAACACTTTTATGATTTTTGTTTTATATTTTCGAAAATAATAAATATTATAATTATTTATAAATGTATAAATAAACCTCCCATTATATTTATTCTATCAATAGATAAAGTAAAATTTAACCTTCAAAGTTAATTTCCTCGTATTTAAATTGGAGTGAAGAAGCTGTGCTGATATTCTCTTAAAATGCTTTGGTTTATATTTATTACTATTCGAAATGTTTTATTGTTATTGACAACGATTTTCGTATTATTTCTAATTATTTTGAAGACATCTAAAAGAGTCCAAGACAGATGGTTCGCTTTCCTTTTAGAGAAAATACTTAAAATAAATATCGAGAAAAACATTGCTGCGGAAAAACAAAAACTATTTACAGAATTGAAACTGGTTAAATCAAAAGATCCTCAGAGATTAAACGAGGGAAAAGTTAAAATTTTGGAAATTGGAGCCGGAAGTGGCTCAAATTTTAAGTATTATCCAGAGAATACCTCCTTAATTTGTGTAGAACCTAATAATAATTTTCAGAAATATTTTCAAGAGAATCAAAGCAAATTTCCAAATGTAAAATTGGATCTGTTTATTTGTTCCGGAGCAGAAGACATGAAGGAAATAGAAGACGATAGTGTGGATGTAGTCGTATCCACTCATGTACTTTGTAGTGTTAACGATGTGCAGAAAGTCTTACAAGAAGTGAAGCGAGTTTTAATGAAGGTAAGTGATGTTTATTTATCCTGCGAATACTTTTGCGAAAAGTGTATAAAATGGAAAAAATATTTTCCATTTAGGGAAGCCGATTCTATTATTATGACCATCAAATTTCTCCAGAGATGAATTTTACCGTAATCTTTTCTAAAATAATCGAGCCAGTTTGGAAGATACTTGGAGGAAATTGTCATCTGACTAGAGACATTGGAAAAGAAGTGGAACGAGCAGGATTCGAAGAAGTATCACAATATTATAAATATATTGATAAATTTCCATTTATTGTAAGATATCACGTTTTAGGATATGCAACAAAATAAAGGATGAAATCCATTTTCTTGAATTTAAAATAGATAATATTTAAGATAATAATTATCAATTGTTAACAGTAGAAAAATAGTTATATTAATTCTTAAAAATTAAAAAGTGTATTTGAAATTATAAAATTAAATAATTTACGTAAAATGTCAAATATTTTTGAATTAATTAATACGGATTTGGATTTAAGGGTTACGATACAAGGGTTAAAAGCTACAATAGGAGGCTGGGAAGTAAGGGACAGAATCCGACATATCCGGAACAGACTACTACTGAAAAATTCCTAAAGTGGCTCATCCGAACTCGATTTCAGATCCACTACAGTTGGAAGCTGACTCTTTAATTAACCGTTTCGATCATCCGACCATTACCAGGAAACATTTAGAAAGATCAGTTTATTTTAGACACCGCAAAATTTTTTAACTTTTTTTTTCTTTTCAGTTTTGGGCAAATAAAAAGTCGTTAAGAGCTAGATCAAGAGTTTGGTTTGACTTATTTGGTTACTGCAACGCGACACGTGGTTGATTCACCCAGGTTAAATGCCTCCCGGAAAGACTTTTATCGGAATTTGGTCTTATTTAGGTATTACAAACGTGAAGAAAACACGGAAGACTCTACGTTGCCAGTTAGTTGACGAGGCGCGAACTCACGACCAACTACCAGTGTTCAGTGGTTTGCTAAATTGGGAGAATAGTTATATTGTGAGAGTAGCAGTTCCAAGGTTTTTCAGAGAAGTAATGATTGTAATGGCTGTGTGTGGCATAAAAAATTGAGATTGTCCACAAGTTGATTATTAGTTATAGCAATTTTCCAGTTTCAAATCGTTTATGTCACTTTTCTCATTTTTGTCTCTTCCTGCCATGTGAGCACTAGGAGTCATTTTTCTATACTCATCATGGCTCGGCCAGGCTAACAATAGAGATAGCCGAGCAATGAGAGAAGGGCCTAATATATTCGGGACAAATCACCCATGGAAAATGCTCGGATGGTTACTGCCCAAATTTGATCTCGAGTTCTTCAGAGTGATAGGCTGATGCCATAACACTTACAGTAAATAGGAGCCAGTTTTCCGTAAAAAGTCGTTTTGCAAGGCTCCTGGCAGGTCACCGTCGTGTTGTGTTTCTTTATCCCAACAATACAAACTTTTCCTGAGCTTTTTCAACACATCTTGAACTTTTATTTTATTGATCAGCTGAGCGGCAGCAAGTAAAAATCACTTTATATTTTCATTTTGTTTGGTCATCTACACTGCCCGTTATAAATGACAGTTAAGTTATGTATTAAGTTCTATAATATTGATAAAATAATCAACAACTTATTATTAAAATTATTCTTGAAATCATCAGAAATTATTTGAAAATTTCGTTGTTCATATGAAATTAGTATGCTTAAATTATGAAAAATGATACAGCCAAACCCATTTATCATGATCAAATGAGACCCGATTAACGAAAATTTAGATAAACCGAAATTTGTGAGGTATTGAAATAAAATTCGAAAATTCCATACTAAAAAATTAATAATTTTTAATGACCGAAAATAAAATTACGTGCTTTACTGACTCGAAAACAATAACAAATTAAATAGGGACATAAAAATTACTCTGTACATAAAAACAGTATGATTTTTAGCCTTGCAGACGTGAGATTGCTACATCATCTCACATACATCGCAGAGTATAACAATTTAAAAAAAATAAAAATGTGACTATTCAAATCAATCCGGATATTCTGGAAATCCAGATGATCCGGATGAACGGGTTTTGTCTGTATCTATAAATATTAATTTGATTCAGTTTATTCATTTTTTTTTAATTTGATGTACAAAACTTGTGGTTAGATAAAGAACTATCAGCTTTATTCTGTATAGGAATAAACGAAAAATTTAATTTTATTTATATATATTTTAAATGATAAAGCAGAGAAATTTGGAATATTATTACATAAAATCGTTGGAAATGACGTATAATTTCAATTGATAACGCTAGTCATACTATTATAAGTAGAGAATTTTTTTGTGTTTATAATCATAACTATTGTTATTGAAAATATTTTCAAAAGGAATTTCCTGTTGTGGAAAATTTATATTGGCAGAAATACATTGGAGTACAAGGAAGATATGAATGTCATCCTTGTCTCTTGGTTATTAAATCATATAGTCGATTAAAATAGTGCCGTCTGGTAGCAGTAATTAAAATTAAATTATTTAGAAGTAATTAATTAGGATTAAGCTTATGATGATTAATTAAAATTAATTAAATTTACTAATCAGTAACTTCTTTCTATATTTATAACAGTAAATAAAAATATTTATTGTTATGTAATAAAACTTTAGGAAATGAAAGTACAGTAGCTACACTTTTAAGTGTAAATGATAATGATTTTAATTATAATTGGTAAAATGTCATTGACATCCTTATTAAGATTATACAATCTAATAAGTTTTGCATGCTATATAATTTAGTTATTTTTATAGCTACGAGGTGGCGCCACGTTTACGTTAATTTCGGATCGGCAAGTGCCATGTGGAAAGACTACATATAATCAGCCGTTAGCGTCAATATTGATGTGATTTCTAAAATGATGTATTAACTGCAGTTATGGTTTACTTGCCAAATTTATTTCCCTTGTAGTTCCCTTCATATAACAGTTACACAACACTTGTTTACATAAATTAGACTGCTCCATATACTCTTGCTGATATATAATCGAGAGATTATATTCCTACGGTGACATGGTTCAGAATCTGTTTCTTGAGGAGGAAAAAGGGAGAAAGGATAAGGATGCCTTTTTGTTTAAAAAATTTTATCTACTTTTATATTTAGGATCTTCGAATAGCCTTTAATAACTTATTGCCATGTTTTTAAAGGTGAGATTATTATGCTTATGTTGATAACTTGAGATATTCTCTTGCATAAGCATGCTAACATGTACAGTGTATTTTTCAGTGGAAATGACATATATAGTGACGTATAAGACGATCTCCTGACTTACAATTCAAAAACGAAATTGAGGAAACTTCATGTAAATAGAAAATGTTTACATATCGTTAAGAACTACTGTATTTAGAAGAAAGTAATAAATTTATTCTCTTCGAAAAAATTATAGATGTGAACAAAAATAAAAAATAAAAAATGCATAGTATAATGCGCATATTTTAAAAAAAATTATTAGCGGTTCGATCAATGAACAAGGCGTAACATTAAAAACTCAGCAGGTGCACAGCGCAATCACGCCATATAGATGATGCAGTCTTTAAATTTATTTATGTTTCAATGGCGTTTGTATTTGTTTTCGTTACTTTAATAAGGAAATAGGTTCTGTAAGAATCACTTCTAAGGATCTTCCATAAATTATGTAATGTTATTTTTATACTTTCCAACTACCATCTCACTCTCTTAACGGTTGTATGCCCCATCCCCAGAATTACATAAGACACATTCTAGATCGACCTTAGTACAATTAATTGTACTAAGAAATAATACAAAGTCTGAGATAACATTAACATTAGTAAACATTACGCTATTTTATATTAAGTACAAAAGTAATGACATATACCTTCCGGAAACAAAAATGTATCATTATGTTATCCAAGGATCTTAGCATTATCTAACGTTTTTGTAAACACCTCACTCCCTCGTAATGCATTGTAACAATTATTTGCACGCTTACTCACCCATGGTTTGCTTTACGTAATTTATGGACAGCCACTATATTCATAAAACAAATAATAATGTAAAATTGAGTTGATTAGCTATGTTGAGACATATAGGAATAAAAATTATGGAATGTAAGTTTTAATTAAAAATCATTATAAAAATTAAGAAAGTAAATTTTAAAATACAGAAAGAATCACCGGAATTGGATATGCTGTCTTCCGAACTAGAAATTATTTTCATGTCAAACACTAAACACGAAAGTAATTAAGAAAATATTTAATAAATATATAACTACTCTCAAAATATATGCAGATTACGACGAACTTTAACTAAAAATGTAATGTGAGTACTTTATATATTCGATAAATTCTTGAAAGCACGAGAGAAATAATAGTGATGCTTCCGGTTTGCTGGAGTGCGATATTAGATTTGTATGATTGGCAGACTATAGATCACGTGTCTTAGTTGAAATTCTGATTCTGATTGGCTGTATGATATTTTTCGATGCTTGTTTCTTTTTATATATATATTGTTCATGGGCTGGCATAAATGAAAAAAACACCAAATTCATAAAAAAAGAGGTTTAAAGGTTTTTTTTAAAAAAATTGGAAATAAATTGCAAATAAAATAGAAAAAAATGAATACCAACTGTCCATTATTGTCTTCAATAAAAGAAACTTTAAAATTAATTACAGAAAAGTTGTTTTAAATGTTTTTAGTACCCCTAATTACTCCAGTTTGAAATGTGCCACTAATCCACTAATATTGGTTTTTTTTTATTGTAGAGATCTTAGGCGTTGAAATGTTTCAAAACAGTAAAGTTTGTTAAAAAAAGCTTATATTTTGACAAAAAGTAAAAAAAAAAATAATAAAAATAAAAACAAATTCAGCAACGAGTTGCTTAACATTCCTGGCAACAACAATTAAAACTGCTTGTAGCACCATCTGTTATAATATTTTATTTAAAAACTTTTTATATTTTTAATTATTATAAAATGGAAAAAAGCTTAATTCTGAAGGTAGGAATAAGTTTTATATATATATATATATATATATATAAAACATTGTGAATGTTAATAACGAGTAAAGTCTCATTAAGTATGACTCTACTCGAGATATGACATATAATCCTCTTTAATCTCCCAACCCCCTCGACCATTAATCAGCAAAATTTAATATTACCAATCCCCCTAATACACAAACCTCTCTGCAAAATGTCAGAAATTTTCGATAAAAGACACAGGAGTTATAAGCTTCAAATAGAGTGAACAAAATTGTGACACACACACACACACTTCCATACTTACAGAAAAAAAAAAC